ACAACAATTAAAACAACAATACCCTGATATACGTGTTTGTCAAGCAACTGCTTCGACTTTTGCTAAGTATGTATTTTGTAGAGATGTTAACTAGGTAGTTTTTTTTTCGAATTTGAATGCATAAATCGATTTTATTGCATTAAGTTAGTTATTAGCTACTTTGTGATTTTAAGGTTTTGTTAATCACAATTCATTTTTACCATATCAATGGTCCATACATTATTTACTTAAATGGATTAATTCTTTTCGTCAATGGATATATAAAATTCATCATTCATTACAAGCTCAAGCATCAACTCGAATACAAATTGTTTGTTATTTTTGTCTTTTATATAGGTTGGATGTTTAGAAGGTATTTATGCTCTCTCAAATGTTTCAAGACCAATAACAATTCGACCAATTTTTTCATAATCAATATGATGAACTTCGTTTACTTATACATCCATTTATATTACATGATCTTAATAATTTACAACTATTACTCGATATTATTAATTTAATCTTTTCAAATAAAGAGAAAAAAAAAGATATTTATTATGCTTTTTTGAATTTGTTCTTCTTATTGGAAGATTTATTAAATAATGCAAATAATATCAATGATATTCAATAAGCAAAAAAAATTTTTCATTTTTTAATTAAGTAAAACCATTTGTTTTGTTTTTTTAAAAAGAACATTTTTGAAAATGTTTTTTTATTATTCATAGAATTTTATCTATATTTGCTTGTATTGTTGAAGATACAATTCCATCAATTCCACAAACATCAAAAATAAATTTTCCACCTATTCTTGGATCACCTCAACAAATAAAAAAATGTTTTGAAAGTAGCACAAATGATTCAAGTAATTCGAAAATTGAACTCTATTTTATTTATAAGAAACACTAAAAAAGTTTTTTTTCGTCAATTTTCATTGAATATTTCTATATACTTTGATAGGCTGCTACCTCTTTCCGTTCTCGAATTATTGCAAAAATATTCACAATCATCATTTTTTTGAGCAGAAGATAATTTCCTATAGTTGATATTTCAGTTTTCACAGAAGAAAGGAGTTCTAAAGTTTTAGATTTGAAGAACATATTTGATCATGTCTCGTCTGAACGAATTCATATGTTTTTTTCTTTTTGAAGAGAATGGAAAAGATTCAAATAATATTGATAATACAAATTCAATGACATCAAGTAAAGATTCATCAACAACATCAAATATAGACAAAGATAGAAAAGTTAATCGTACACAATTAGGTGCTTTTGGACATAATCCATCAATGATGAAATTATTCGAATTACTACGTTCATCATATCACATACATTAAAGTTTATTAAATTCATCTGAAAATGATCGTTTTGAACAATTACTTTCAACAACATTAATCTGTATGAAATCAGTTTTAAGTC